AGTTGCAGGGCTCTTGCAAAGACCATCCACATCACTGTGCTGCATGCAAACAGTAAACCAACACAGCTGATGCGAAGCAGCACAGGCAGCTGTAGGACAGAAGGGAAAACCCCATGTATTTCACTGAGCACCCATGCACACTCAGTTCATGGGTGCGTTGGAGCAACACTCAACAGCATGGGCTTTTGAAGCTGAACTACAGCTGGTGTCATGTGAAGATGAGGGGCTCTTCATCAGGGACTGTAGTGCTAGGACAAGGGGTGATGGGTTCAAGCTGAAACAGGGGAAGTTCAGGTTAGATCTAAGGGAGAAGCTCTTCCCTGTGAGGGTGCTGAGGCACTGGCACAGGGTGCCCAGAGAAGCTGTGGCTGCCCCATCCCTGGCAGTGTTCAAGGCCAGGTTGGACACAGGGGCTTGGAGCAAGCTGGTCTGGTGTGAGGTGTCCCTGCCCATGGCAGGGGGTTGGAACTGGATGATCTTACAGTCCTTTCCAACCCAAACCAGTCTGGGATTCTGTGATTCCATAGAATCACAGAAGGAAACAGAAGTAAGGAAACAGCCCTGAACAAAGCGTGACCGTAGCATGTCCTGCCTTAAATCCAAACTACAAAGCTGAGTCAAACAAACAAAGTCAATGTACAAGCTGAGAAGTACCAGGACAACGCACAGCAGGTGCCATGCCAGAAGCCAGACTCCAGAAAGCTCTCCTGCTTGCAATGTGGTGCACAAGCAATGCAGTGAAATGCCCTTCACTCTTTGCTAGATGTATGCAAAAGGGTCAAATTCAGCCCTGCTAGAGACAAACACCAAAGTTGCTCATGCCAGTGATGCATTTGGTCCAGGACCCATCAGCTGCGGGCTGAGATCAGTGTGGCCATCAGCACCTCCTCTAAGCTGCCTTACTGCTGCAGTGAGGGCAAAGCAGGGTCCTCTGCAAGGCAACAGAGCTGAGGAGCTTCATGCCTGACTTTGCACACTCCAGCATGTAGCAGCAAGAAAACCACCTCTTCCAGGGCCTTCAAGGCCAAACTAGGTTCTTAAGGTCTCCCTCCTTAGACATCCTGACAAGCTATGCAGCAGCCTCAGGGCACAGCTTTGCCTAAAAAGCCTTCACCATTTAGTCTCCCCCCACAGCCACAGTTTTTGCTGCTGCAGCCACCCCCCTAGCCCCCATGTACCAGGTACTTGATGTGAAGACACCAAGGGAGGAGATCACAGGCACATCTTGACTCTTACAAGCACCCAGGGCAAAGGAAAGCCAGGTTTTCCCTAAGCTCATAGTGATCGTGCCTTCCTAGCCCATCACCTTTCCGTCCATGGTGGAATCCACCTTGAAGCAGATAGAAATGGAGGTGTGAAGTCACAGAGGTTGAGGAGTTTGGCCTCACTTAGCCCCACTTGTGGCAAAGGTCTCCAACTTTATCAAGGCAATGGTAAACAACCCAAAAGGATTCCTACCAGTGAAGCACTTTGCTTTCCCATCATCACCTTAGCAAACCCTGTGGAGAGGAAGAAGAGGGACAACCAAGCCCAGTCAACCTTCTACTACGGCTCACCATGGGATGGGGTTTGCCTCCCACCTTCACTCTGCCTCTGCCAAGGCAGTTTTACCTGCTCTGGGTAGTCTTGTGCATCCACACTCCCCTCTTCCAGTGGGTAGGCAGATCTGGGAGTAAAGAGATGAGAAGGGAAACTGATTTAGGTGTTTCACCTAAATGCAGTGTATTTACAGGTCAGAAAGAGTGTAACCAAGGTGCACTGCTGGGGAAAAATAAAGCCTTAAGGAAGAGACCTTGTTATTCTCCCTAACCATCTGCTTGAGGGTGTGGAGAGGATGGAGCCCAGGCTCCTCGCCAGGGTGCATGGGGTTATGACAAGAGGCAGCAAGTTTGGAACAAGTGAAATTCCCATCTAATCCAAGGAAAAACAAGTGATCAAACACTAGAGACAGAAGCCATGGGCTCTCCAGACTTGGGGAGAGGAGAAGGCCCTTGGAGAGACCTGTTGCAGAGCAGGGGTTGGACTAGAGACCTCCAGATGTCTTGCCTGACTTGAGTTAGTCTGTGGGTCTATGAGTGATGGAGCAAAGCTGGTACCCACCACCATAACAACTGTGATCTTCAAAAGCAACCCTGAACTCGATGGGCTGTTCTTACCTTCCTCTGTGGCAGAGCCAGGGAAATCAGCTGCAGGGTGGCATTGTGCCCAATAGGAAGGTTTTCCAGTGAAAGGTTAAGTCCTTCTTCGTCCTGGGCAGAGGAATGGTCATCGCAATGGCATCCAGGCAGAGATAGGAACATCCCCAGGTGTTCCCCACAAGGAAGGAGAGAGGTAGAAATTTCTCCCCTGCCAAGGGCTCAGCCGAGCCAGCCCAGTGAGTCAAGGATTACTGTTCTGATTGCCTTTCCAAGAGATTAATTTCAGTGTACACTTCAGATAATCCAGAATCACTCCTGAAGTGGCAGAAGTAATTGTAGACGAAGTTTGGCAAGGCAGAGAAGAAAGTAAAGGAGAACTTTTGTTCAAGTGAAATGACCCCTCTCGGCCTCAGCCAACACAAGACATCATCCTGGCTGAGAAGTGAAATCCACCTTGGTGCTGCTATGAAGTATCCTGCTACCCTGTGTCATAGCCTCTTAGTAACGTCAATACACTTCTAATGTTTGCTGCTGCTTTCCCCGCTGCCCAAGGTGATGGCTGCTCTCATGCCTAAAGGTGTAGAACCATAGCATCAACCAGGTTGGAAAAGCCCTTTAAGCTCACCCAGTCCAACCGTTCCCAGCACTCCAAGGCCACCACTAACCCATGGCACTGAGGCCTCGTCTCCACGCTGTGTGAACACTTGCAGGGACGGTGACTGCAGCCCTGCCCTGGGCAGCCTGTTCCAATGCCTGAGCACCCTCTGGGGAAGGAATTGTTCCTCAGCTCCATCTAAACCTGCCCTGGTGCAGCTTGAGGCCGTTTCCTCTTGTCCTGTCCCTTGTTCCTTGGGAGCAGAGACCGACCCCACCTCACTCCAACCTCCTGTCAGGCACTTGTAGGGAGCCATCAGGTCCCCCCTGAGCCTTCTCTTCTCCAGACTGAACCCCCCAGGTCCCTCAGCCGTTCCCCATCACACTTGTGCTCCAGGCCCTGCACCAGCTCCATTGCCCTTCTCTGGCCCCGCTCCAGCCCCTCAATGTCTCTCTTGCAGTGAGGGGCCCAGAACAGAACACAGGATTCAAAGTACTTATCCCATGCCACAGATTTCCGTGTACAGATGGCTTTTGATTATCTCCAAGGATAGAGACTCCACCACCTTCATGGGCAACCTGCACCAGTGCTCAGTCACCCTGAGTGGAAAAGTGTTTGCTGATGTTCAGAGGGAAAACCTGTGTTTCAGTTGTTGCCTCTGGTCCTCTCACTGGGCACCACCGCAGCCTGGCTCCATCCTCTGTGCAGCATCCCTTCAGGTATCTGCACACCGATGAGATCTCCTGAGCCATCCCTTCTCCTGGCTGAACAGCTCCAGTTTTCACAGCTTCTCCTCAGCCCTTGCTGGGCTGTTTCCAGCAGCTCCATACCTGTCTAGAGAACCCATAACTGGACTCAGTACACCACACGTGGCCTCACCAGTGCTGAGCAGAAGGGAAGGATCACCTCTCTTGACCTGCTGGCAACACTTCACCTCAATAGCACAATTTATCATAGCACCTTCAGAAAAACACCCAACCAAAAAAACCCACCAACAAATGGGAAATGTTTCTATACATTCCAAAGGAGAAAATCACCCAGAAAAGATGCTGTCAGCATTTTCAGCAATTCCATGCTCTGCTTTCCTGTCATTGCAGAGCACAATCTTCCTGGGGGTGGAGAAAGACACACAAGACCCACACTGATAAGAGCATGAGGATTGCAGTTTTTCAATTCTCCTTTCTGATATACACAAAAGGAGCAACATGATTAACAAGGACCTTGGTTTGGGGTTTTAACCATTTTTAATAACCATAGAATCCCAAACTGGTTTGAGTTGTGTGGCTGTTTCTGGACTATGTTCAACCAGTGGTTTCTGTCCCTCCCTTTGTGATCCTTGCCATAAGCTTGCTTACTCCTGAGTCTGTGTTGTATGCCTGTTGTAGAACTTACATACTCCATCCATCCAGAAAGTAATAGGATGGAGTATATATAAGGTTTGTATATAAACCACCATTGCCCATATCCGTTTTTCCTTCCCACCCTCCACCAACACACTCCGTTCCCACCTGCTCAGCATGGATGCTGCCCATCCCTGGCAGTGGTCAAGGCCAGGTTGGACAGGGCTCGGAGCAACCTGCTCTGGTGGAAGATGTCCCTGCCTGTGGCAGGGTCTGGAACCGAATGAGCTTTAAGGTCCTTTCCAACCAACCCATTCAATGAAACAGCAGGCTGCAGACAAGCATTTGACACTCAAGCATACCAACACCCTGCTTTTAAAGGCAAACTGACATAAACCCACTGCAAACGGGCATTCAGAGCCAGGTTTGGTCTCAGGCATCCCCATACTTCACTTCTCTATTGCACACCAGCAGACAGGCTCTATCTGCCCGCTGCATGCCCACCATGCTCTGCTCACCCTGTGGGTGCCCTCAGGAGCTGAGTCAAGGCTGGGCTCGCCCCCTTCTGAAGACCCCATATGCTTCTTCCCCCTCACAGATGCAGGAAGAAGCAAAGCCCTGAATAATGCAGAGCATGCTTTAACTGGCACAAGCCGCTTCCCTGTGCCATTTCCTCCTTCCGTATCCAGTGGCAGGCAGCCTCCCCACAAAGCCCCAGTGGCTGCCACTGCCCCTGGCAGTCCCTTGCCTCCCTGCTGCTGGGGTGTGCTGGTGAAGGGCAAGAAGGAAAAATGGATGTGGGCCATTGTGGTTTATATACAAAGGATTTATTTCTTATGTTAGCAAAGGATGGTGTATAAGTTCTACTACAGACATACAACACAGAAAGCATACAACTATGCTATTTGTCTGCAGACTCCTCAGTTTAAGGAGTTTTTTTACCTTACTACTTCACATCAACGTTCAAGTAGAAACAAGCCTGCATGATTAGACAACTCCAAAATCCATATATAAGCTTTATTCTTCTTCCCTTCAGTCAAATAGTGCAGGAACTCATTAGGAAGCCTGCCCTCCAACTGCCATGGGTCTTTTTCTTCATACTCTCTTGCCCCATTTCTTTGTGGGCAAAAGTAAGTACTGTATAAGATAGCCAAGAATAGGTGGATAGAATTAGTGACAGGTTCAAGGAAGTACCTTCTAGCACTGACACAAAAATCAGTTTTTGAGAATTGCCAGGAAGGTGATAATAGGTCATTGATAGCTGCCCACATGGCTGGATTCAGTTCTTCACTAAGGGTTATTACCAGCCCAAAATCCAGGAACTAAATGACTTGACTTTTGCTGTGGTCCCAGGAAAATAAGGTTTTGACACTTGGTGTTTGCTTATTCTGTACACTTGAAAACTCTGTCTCTGAAGCTGTGTCATCAGAGCTGCTCCCGATGTTTGCACATGTCACATCTTTTTGCTTCTTTCAGAGAAGCGTTTTCAACTCTTAGTTTTTCAGTCTCCTGGAAAACAGAATGAACATGGGTGCACTAAGGAAGTTATACTCACTTCTTTCATACTTCTAATTAGGTGGTATCTACACTCATTCAAGTGTTTCACACACTATGGACTTGAGGAAATCAAATGGGGTGAACCATGCCTGGGACCTGCAAGGAGACAGACCAGCCACGACCACACAGCTGCATAAAATCAGATATCTATCCATGGCTCTCCAACAGAAGAGCAAGAGTTTTAATCTGGGTTCTCAAAGCTTAGCTCTCCTCTATGTCAGGGCATTCCTTCGTTTATGTGCTACTCTGGAACTTACCGCACTAAGTTCAGTGTAATCTTTCTTCAGTTTCACAAGATACTGAATCCTCTGTTTTAGGTTTTGATGACCAATCAATTTCCCATTTTCCTCCGCAAGAGACTTCAGCTGCTTCCTCAGCAAGTCCATTTCCTGCAATTAATAAACACATTGTAGACTGTAGCCCCTCCTTTCTTCCAGAAGAAACAGCTTCTTTATAACATTTAAGTGTGTTGTAACACATGATGAAATAGTCTGCTCATTCAGGAAACATCTTATTTGTCTTATGCCTCCTTATATAGTAGATGAGATCCCTCTGAAGGGCAAAAATAAGCACCCTTTGATTTGGCTTATGAAATGCGACTGTGATTTCCATACCCAGAGATAGACTAGTGCAGGAAACAGCATCACAAATATAAAGTGCAAGACAAAACATCTTCAGAGGCAGCCCTCAATTGACAACTCAATTGTGCAATCAGCAACAGCTCTACTTGCTGAATAGGATTCTACTGTAAGGAAACCAAAAAAAGACACATGTATAACCTTTGCAACTCTGTCTCTCTCTTCATACATTTCCTCCAGTTTTGACCGTATTTCTTCTTTTTCATTAAATGCTTTGATCTCCAAAGCTCTTGTTCGTTCCATCTCCTGATTAATTTCAAGACAAGTATTCTCTTTGATTTTGAGGTTATTTCTGGTTTCTTCTAATCTGCCAATGTAAAAGAATCATAAAATATTAGAACCCCCCTCCCCAACATAAATGGCATGCAGCTGAATTACTTTGTGAGCCTTGGACATGGAGGCAGGCTCCTTTAAGAGTATCCTTTTGATACAATATATTTTCCTTAGAACTCGGTGCTAAGAGAAGGAAAAATTCCATTCCTCTTCTCAGTGCTGGTGTTTGATACTGTCTCTTAACTAGGCAATGTTTTGGAGTTGCTGCTCTTTTGGGAAGTATGCTGCTTCCCATCCAGGATGTATAACTCCACTGATGAAAGAAAAATGGAAGCTTCACTTACAAGAGCACTTAAAATGAATGCAAAGGCATCTAAATGTGCCAGATGAACTCTGCTGTTCTCCAGGTTTCATCTAAATTGTGGCTTTTCTCCAATAGCCTTGTTGCTCAGAAACATGTCTGAGCTTGTTTGGCCTGGAAACAGCAGGACCACCACTTTGGATAGACATCATGTGCCTAAAGTTTTCATTCTTTCAGGCTCCCAGAATATTAAACCACACCACCAAACTCAGCAGTCTATATCCTGATGGTATGACCTTTGGTAATCATACATAACCATTCAAATACTGCATAAATGATATTTGCCATTGAATCCCAGAATCAACTACAATCATAGAATAGTTAGGGTTGGAAAGTACCTTAATATCATCCAGTTCCAACCCCCTGCCATGGGCAGGGACACCTCACACTAAAACATGTCACCCAAGGCTCTGTCCAACCTGGCCTTGAACACCACCAGGGATGGAGCACTCTTGCCATTGGTTTTGTTTCACTGCAGCCACAATATATCACAATATATCACAACAGAATTCATTTGCTGCACTTGTCAAGATGTCTCCTTGGTGATAAAAGTCTTCTTTTTCCCCTCTTTGCACATTATTTGTTTGTAGGAGACACTGTACCATTGGTTCAGAGACCAGAGAGGTATAAAAAAAACCCCAATGCATCAAATAGCAAAATAAGCCTAATCAAGACTAGAAATAGCTTGATATAAATTACTTTTGAGATGACCACATGTATAAAACCCTATCTTCATCCTTAATTACATAGAAAGTATTCCATTAAATATAAATAACTCAAATATTAGGAGATTCAGCCACTATGAATCATGAAGCAATACAGATCAGTAGCAGGAGCAACACTTTCAAACTAATTGTTAACTACTTATTTGGCATTTTATCTCTTAACTACATCCATCCATGGTGCAAATCACCTGAATTTTGAGGACTACTTGCACAATAATGCAGACTCTATCTAGAAATCCTATGATAATAATGTCCATTATTCAAGCTGAAGAGTAAAATATTTTAACAAATAGCATAAAAAGGGCAAATAATTAGATTAAGCTTAACATTATAAACCATGCATGATATTAATAAAGAAATGAGCAGTATTTCAATTTAATTTTAAAAGGCATGTGCACATAAAAATTCAAAATATCTGTAACTTAAAATTCAAAATTTCCCTTTCAATTTTTTTCTGTGGTTTCACCTATTTCAGTCCTGATACAATTCTACCATTTTAGAAAGTGTAGTAATAGGTGCTACTACCACCTACTGATGAGAAAGAGTAAGAACTCAATGTGTCTTGCAGGAGTATAAACAACATTTAAAATTACACCTTTTATAGTTTCAGATTTTGGACCTCTATTACTTAAATATATCTTTTTGGCATTAATGAGTTTAATACAGTCTCCAGTTCGATGAACAATGTTTAAACTTACTCTGCTTTGATTTTCAGCATCTCCTCCACTGCTTTATTCTGTAAAAGTCCAAAAATGTTAGTTACATTCTTGATGTTTAGTATATATGAAATTAGTTGTCACTGAATTGATGCTACTTGACTCATTCCAGAGCCTACCAAAGTCATCCTACTCCCCAGTAATTCACATCTCCAATATTAATGCCTTTGCTGTATACACTTATTTCCAGTCCCATGCCAGCACAAGTGACCCACAGCAGTATCTCTGCCCATTCACACAGAGCAGAGCTCTAACAGGGGGTTCTTCTGCCTGGGAGATCCATGGCAACCTCTACTGTGACATTAACTTCCCTTTGGCAGTGCCCTGACATTAGCAAGTGACACAATCTTTACTTTCCAACTCTAGAGATGAGTCAGATTTTAATGGTCTGAATTTGGTTTTGCTTATTGTGCAATCTGACACAGAGTTCATTGGTGTTAAGACCTAAATAGAAACCTTAAGAGATAAGAAGCTACATCTATTAGAATTCACTAGAAACCAGTGTCTTTCACTGCCATGTAATTGGAGAACATATTAATACTTCACAGCAGGGAAATATGAGAAGGGTAATACCTTGGCACGTTGTTCTTCAGCAACCTCCTCATCTTTCTCTTTGAGGTACTGAACATCAGGATGTTTCTGGTCACTAAGAAATCCAAGAAGGAGGAAAGGTTCTCAGAAAGAGAGGAAACCAGTTGCAAAAGCATCCTGTTACCCAGATTAAACCAGAAAACGTGTATAGCTTTCTTGACACGTCTTCCTACTCAGAACACCAAACATCATGAAACAACTCTAGAAGGGTTTAAATTTTTATATTCCAAGAACATCACTCCTTTGTTATAGAAAAAATGTTTTAATGAAAAAAATCAAAATTTAATAACTATCCAACTGTATGTTAGAGGTAAACACGAGGCAAACAATAGACATAAATGGAATCAGGCCATGTTAAAGCTTGTATTGAGTTCATTTAGACATTCTCTATCTACTGAATCCATAACTACACAAGTGATAACAATATACAATACACAGAAATGGTTATGCAAGTAATTATTTTAAATTCTATTTCCATTTCCTTTATAAAACTTTGTGTTCAAGAACCTGTGATTTAAAGGCAATGAAGTTTACAAGCCAGCAAACGACTTTCACAGAAGAGGCTGAGTCAATCTCTGATTATATGAGCAATAGGCAACATTGCATTTCAGTCAAGAACTGCACATTTGTTTATTTTTCTTACTTGCTTCAAGTTAAGACAGGTTTTCTTGGTTTATTTTTACCTGTTCTTGCTTGGTCTCTGAGCTTCTACAAGGTTCTGTAAATTCCTGTTGTTCTCCACCAGTACCTGCATTTCCAGACGCAAATTCTCCAGCTCATTTAATTGTTCCTAAGCAAGTGAAATTGGAAACATTTTATTTGAAGACCTAATTGCAATTCCTGTTTTCAGTTCCAGTTTTTTGAGCAAAAGAGAAGATAAAGCTATTTATCAGAAAGAAGCGCAGTTCTCTGGCCAAGATCTGCATCACCCTTCCATTTACAGTTTCATTAGAAACTTAATTTAGAATAAGGCAGAACAGTTTCATTGGCAAAAATGATGATACCATTTGATATTCATGAACACGAAACAACTTGGTCCTTAGGAAGATGAGATATATGGAACATTGCAAGCAAGTTGTCACCATTTGTTATCAGCCTAAGTGAAGAGAAGACCAAGAACTACCTTCCTGCTTTAATGGGCAGACTACTTAGCAGAGCTCATTAAAAATCTGAGCTTTGTATTCTGTCTTATTCCAGCTTACAAGTTGCCTTAGACATTAACTCGTAGTACCTTCAGCCTTAGAATTTCAGCATTTTTAGCTTTTCGTTCTTCATTCAGCTCATGCACAAGGTGCTCCAGGTTTATTGCAGAAGCCCTCCGATCAGCTATTTCTTGCTCATGAGTTTCCAAGAGCTTTGCCAAATTCACATCAAACTTAGGGGGAGTTTTTGCACACTGGCAAGTTAAAAGAAACAAAACCAACAAACTATTAGCAAAGAGCTGGTTCCCCTATTGTATTGGTTACGTCTTTTCATACTCAGCTGGAGACATACGGTAATAAATACCAGGCAAAGCCATCAATAATACATTACAGTTACAAAGAAGTTGAATGGGATTTGACCATTCCTGGGACCTTGTCAAGTTTATTAGTCCTTTTCAATGAGTTTTAGCAGTCATTACAATGAAAATGTTTCTCTCACAAATGCCATACCTGAGGAAATGTTTCTGAAGACGAGTCAACAAAGCAATCGAGTTGCTTCATTTTTAATTCATATTCATTATTCCTTTTCTCCAGTTCTTCTGTCACTTTGTCCAGCTATTAGAAACCCCAATTCAAAATGAATTAGTTAATAATACATACAAAATAGTAAACAGCAGCCATATCTCTATTGTGAGCAAGCTTAAGTACACCATGGGTTATTTCACGTTACCTTAGACTTCACTTTCATGAGCATTTTGTACATTTACCTACTAAATGTTAATCATTCCATAGTTGCATGTAACAAACATTTTCTGAAAGCCTCTATACACTATATGCTATGTAATTAATTTGAATTCTGCTCCTGTTGTTGGTTCACCTTGCTAAATCTATCTCTCAAAGAGCGTGCTAGCACAGAAAAACTAATATCAACTTTATTGGCAAACATTACTGGACAAGATGTGACTCGATACGAAGATTTTACTGGCATAGATTTAATCAGTTTCCTGAAAGAGAATACACTAATGTGACAAAAGAACTCTTCACAAAAACAACTTATCCTAACTGGAGTTTTTGCCAGCACTAATGTATCACTTAGGGCTAGGACAGTTATGACAACTAAAATTTGGGCAAGGCTTATGATAGTTATTTGGTCTGCAAAAGCTCCAACTCACTCTCAGACTGCATACTTTATATAGCTCAACAGTTATCTCCATTATAAAATGATACTGTTTGTGGCTAAGTGTTACGCAGAGGAAAAAGTAACTCCCCAGGTTGCAGTGCTTACAACCTCAGCTTGCTCTATTAGAAGTATGATAATTTTACACAGTTGTCAGAGTAAACATTTTCATGATCTCTAGGCACCTATTCTGAAGTATTTAAAGATTATCTAGCCTTTGTTCCAAAGCTTCTGAACTACTAACTTTTACAGGAAGGAGTGCTGCTTTTCACCAAGAGTACTGTGTACAAGATGCTCTAAAATGACTAGCAAAGCCTTTTCCAGAAGCTACAATTATCTACAGCTCCTTCCCAAGGAACCAGCTATCAGAAGAATTTCCTTGTTTTACCTGTTCCCTGAGTTCCTGGATTAGGGCTTCTTTCCTTGTTATGTCTTCCTGTGCAGATTGAAGCAATGAATCATGCTTCTTGGAGGCTTCAGTCAGTTTCATTAGCTGATCAACAGTATGATGCAAGTCTTCACACAGAAGGTCTCTCTATTTAAAACCATTGGATGAGTAAAAAAAGAAATGTCAAAGTTACTCTCTAAAGCAGTTGTTTCAAGATGCCAGGTGAGGTTTAGACCAGAGCTGAGGAACAATTCCTTCCCCAGAGGGTGCTCAGGCATTGGAACAGGCTGCCCAGGGCAGGGCTGCAGTCACTGTCCCTGCAAGTGCTCACACAGTGTGGAGACGACGCCTCAGTGCCATGGGTTAGTGGTGGCCTTGGCAGTGCTGGGAATGGTTGGACTGGGTGAGCTTAAAGGGCTTTTCCAACCTCACTGATTCTATGATTCTAATTTTTGTAATTCTTGCTAAGAGTGCCAACAGCTACAAGCATCTCCCTTTTTTCCTCCACTTTTTCATCATTAATTGTAGCAAGCATTCAACTATGAAATTTCTTATTTTAGCATGTTTTCTGCATTTAGTATCTTGGCTGCAGAACAAAAATGAGAGCTTTACCACAATAAAGTCAGTTAGATACTTGTGGGAGATATTTGGAATAAACCACTGTTTTAAAAGTATCATCTATCCTTAAAAAGACACACAATGCTTCAAATAAGGAACAATAGGATAGAGCTTTTAACCCATGCTGAAATAGTGATTACAGCTTTTTAGTGCACTGCTATTCTGTAAATACCTCTGGATTTATTCCAGGATCTAGACTCCCACCCTATCTGGTAGGGCATCACACCTACACAAGGTGCGTTAACCTAGAAGGAGAAACAGTGTTTTAAATGCCACCTTAGATTAGTTCTTCTCTTCCAGTCAAGAAAGCATGAAGGAAATCAATAACTGATGTAAAAAGTCAAAGAAGGAGAAACACTATGAGTTTATTAGGAGCCAGATACACTCATGGATAACACTGGAGTAAGAACTGGTACTTCAGTTTATAATAAAGTGATCCATTTGGCAGGCAACTCAGTTTGGGTTTCCAGAATGTCTGATTTAGATATGATTGTTATTGAAGACACTCTGTTTATTAAACATAGTAGAAATCTATTTAAGAACGGGGTTTGGAGAAGCAAACACTACTCTGGGAGGCTTTATCGAGGCTATATGATTGGACTAAGCACATGTAATACGACAGATGATCTTGCAGAGATTACTTGTAAGGAGAGGTTAGTGGCTTTAGACTGATGGGCATGTTCACCAAAACATGAGAGCAGCAACAGGAAAGAGAGAGTTGAAAAAATGAAAGATGCAATTTGAAAAGCAAGCAGTTAAATCAACAACGCATCCTAAATCTGTTTCCAGCAGATGGAGCTTTTAGTTAAAATTATGAGCAAAGAAAAGATGTTCCTGCATATAGAAGCAGTGGGGGAAGAGAGAATGTTAAACATAATATATTCGTCTACCTATTTGAATTTCTCAGCTGCTAATGTAATGTTGCCATTAAATTCAGCTGATGACTCCTCAGTGGCCTTAACAAAATTAAAGCAGGCTTTTAGCATAGGTTTTTATGAAGTAGCTTATAAAATATTTATGTCATGTAATGTGATAATTTAACAGAATTTGTCAGGTATCTCATTAAGAATTCCTTTAAGAACAGCCTAACTGGCTACAGTCTGAACCAAAATGATGTTATCTTCTACACAAGTATTTTAAGCAAAACTACATCCAGTTGGTCTGCTGAACAAATGATCATGATCACAGAATAATATGCCAACATTATTGTTTTTACCTCAATGTTATCAGCTATTTTACTTCTCTCCAAGGCTTCCCTCAGCTCTTCAATCTTCTTTTCCTGATCCTGTATGATTCCTTTGCTTTCTTCTCTTGCAGTCAGAAGAAGATTATACTTGCACTACAAAAAGTATTATATTAAATTTTACATTATCTTGGGAAATATTATCAATGTCAAAGAAAGTTGGCCAACATAATACAAATAAATGCATTTCACAAATCCTATAATGACAACTACAGACATTTAATATCTCAGGGTCAATTACTAAAATCAGACTGAAATCATACTTGCCACATTGTACAAACTATGCTATTAGAATTGAGTTCAGAACAATGGAAAAAGATTAATATGTATTAGCCACCACAATACATATTAACCACTAAAACTATTATTAAAAATCAGATAACGATATGTAGAAATGTGACTCATCACCATTTTGTTTGTAGGACTTTTTGAATTCATAGCTCATACATATACATCATCTAAACCATTCTGTGGGCTGCTCTGTCTGCAAACCAGACCTATTTTAATATGAAAATGCATCATATTGATTCACTTACTCAAATATGTAGTTTTACTTCTTTATACTTGTTTTCAGATTGAGAACATAGTACTATCAGCAACAAGAATTCACTCAAAAATGCATTTACAACAGCACTTCAATTGCTGAGCTCTTAAAGTGCCAGTTTCTGAGCAAACCTAAGCGTGACTGTCAGCTGAGTGTAGTTTACAGGATGTGAATAGGTCCCTTTGGAGAAACTGCTCTTTACCCACCACATGGAGAGTTCAGTTTTCAAGACAGCCTGAGGCAAAAAAGTGTTCAGAAGACTTCAACATGTCAAAACAAAGAAGTTTCCTTCTAAAAGGCTACAGCAAGTTACGCTGTTTGAGACCCACAAGACATGTCATTGCCTTCCATTGCTGAAGAACTATACCATGCCCTTCAAAATGACAGAACATACATTTATATCCTCGAGCTCTCTTGTCAGACCATCTAGGGACTCAGTTTTATGATTAAGTGAAGTCCTCAGCTCCTGGATCTGTCTCATCAAGTCAGTTACAACTTCCTGAAACACAAGAAAGTTAATCGTGATACATTATAATACATATTTTATTACTGGACTCTTTGGTGTGTAGTTTGTCGATAGCAATTTTGAAAATGAGGCTGCAATATGAACATGTACAGGTATAACAGGAAATTTGTTGTTAAATCATTGAGTTTTGTTCTAAGCACTTACACAAAGAATCAAATAACCTGCTGTGTTCATTAAAAGAGAAGCCTCACCCTCTATTTTAGTCTCAGGTTGTAATAGGTTTTAACAGAAGTACTACCATTTACGATTACATCTGTTTGTAATGGGAAAAGGCACATTCAAGAAACACCACTACACTGACAATAGCAGGTTCTTCTGACCTTGTAACATGTCAAATATTTTAGTTTAGCATGGAAAAAGCATCATGCTGGATAGTAAATGCACTATTTCTTTTGCTTTACATACAGCATAAATACTTGTACTATGGGAACTTTCGCTTTTTAAGCTTTCAAATCACTGAAGCAATCTTTTCCTGTAAAAAAAGGCTTTGATTTTATTCATAAAGATACCCAGAGTCACATTCTGACATCACTTTTCTTACCTTTTCTATTAGCCCATTCCAACATGGCACTGATTGGAAGGCCCTATTGATCATTAGGAAGCCTGCATCATTTATGCATTGTATATTTTGCCCAGCAGACAGCTTTACCCTCATATTATTGTTGTTTAGCCATCAGTTATTTTGTGTCGTCTCTGAAAACATACCAGTGTCCCACCACTCTGCAAACTCCATATTTACACCAGGAAAAGTAGGGTTTATTTTACCTAGATACACAGCCAAGATTGCCTTGAAGCACAGAATTATGAAGCAGCACAGAAAGGCTGCTCTGGGCTTTCAGTTCTACTAGAGAACAAAGTTACCTGCAAAACTGGGTATCAATAACAGAAATAAGCCCAAACCTTATCTGTATCGTTTGTCTTCTTCAAAGAAACGATCATTTCTTCAGCAGCAGCCAGCTCCTGCTCCAATTTCTGCAGTTTTGCTTCCTGGAAGAAATAATAATGGTGAAGGAGAGACTTCATTATTTTTGAAGTATGCTTTGTAAAGCACAAAGCCATGCAAAAAGGGAAGGAGGCAAGTTGTTCACCTCCCCAGAAAAATTAAGCAATAGCTTCACAACACCTGAAACTCAAGAACTCTACATTTATATTGCTGGTAATCAACAGAACAGTCAGTTCATTGCTGAAATTGCTATTAATGCTCAAAGAAATCTATGAACACATGATTTAGACATTCAATTCTGCTGTTGTACCTGCTGCTCACGCTGGGTCACCATTTCAGAGGATGGTTTCCCCACCTGTGCTTTTCCAAGCTCTTTCAAGAGCTCCCTGAAGAAGAAAACATTTCTAGTAAGAAATATAATCAGAACAAAAGGAAGCTTTAACAAGAATTAAGTCATGTAAGTGTATCTTTATTGCACTTACACATCTACAAACAAGAGCCTCATCTGAATAGAAAACCTAGCATAAGACAAACCCAATGAAGCGAGATAAAAACAAGGCCCACTGCTAATTAAAACTTACTTTGAACTGGTTTCTTCTTGCAATCTTAATGTTAGTTTTTCATTCAGTTCTTTTTCTGTTTTCAGGAGTTCGTAAAGATTCTAGAATATCAAAATACACGTTACAAGATAGGGCCTTTAGAATCATTTAAACCAAAATGAAAACCTGAAATTGCTAAGGTAACTGAAAAAACCCACCACAAAACTTCAAATGGAGACAGAAAGACCCTTAGCTTTGTCCTGGACAAGTTCAAAAGCAAAGTCTTATTCATATTAAGCAATCAGCTCTTTTCACCTGTCATCGATGATCATTTCTGTAGCTACAATGGTCCTCAATATCAAAAGGTTTTAAAGTGAGAAATTAACCTGTAGATTAATCTGGGGGGACTTTTCAAACCCCAACCAGCAGGACATGGTATCAGACTATAAGGAATTTAAAATTATCATTTTCAATCTGTCACTATTCCTTTAAACACTAAAAAGTAAAACTTAAAGCAAACTTGCTGAGCAGGCAGAGTGCACACTGCAGAAAAGCAGGCAAAATCATTTGCAAAAGCCCTTGGGCAGCCTTGCTGTTGTTCTGCAGTCACTTCAGTGTGACAGGCTTTCAAGGACACCATCAACTGAAGTGCAGGACAGCGATCCACTACAAGAAGCCATACATCATTTTAACAAGACCACATCCACTATGAAACTGTTTAAGAAACTGCTTTGTAAAGACAGAAGTAAACCAGTCTTAGCTAGCTCTGAGATGAAAAGACACCAGCATTTCGATGTCAGGATTCTTTTTCAAAGTAGTTTCTTATTCCTTTACTGATTAATCCATCTCCCTCAACATTTCCAGAGCTGTTTCCTCAGCCAAAATCCCTCCTGCTTCAACATGTTGGATATTTCTTGTAGCCCTGCAGCTGCAAAAATCTTGCACCAAGTTTTAATACAGATTATGGGTACATCTTCCAAATGATATCATCGGGAAACCTGCTATTGCTGTGGAATCTGTTATCAATGATACAGTAACAGAAATCAGTATTGGTTGGAAGCAACCCTAAGCTCATCCAGCTCCAAACCCCTGCCACAGGGTGGGACAACTTCCAGCTGGCTTAGTGGAGATATCCCTGCCTGTGACAGTGGTTTGGAAGTGATTGAGCTTTAAGGTCCCTTCCAACCGAAACCATTCCATGATTCTATGAATTAAGCAGTCTGGCTACACAAGTAACTGTATAACGAAGTCCTTTAAAAGCCTTGACCATCTTACACAAAGCTCAGTTTTCATTGCTTCTGCTTCTTGTTCAAGTTGTTGCTTCAGCTGATCTGTCTCAAACTTGGCTACTTCCTGCAAATTGTCATAGTCATCCTGCAGGCTTGCTTTTTCCTCAAGAACCTTCTCATGTTCTAGCCTGTCAAAAATAGACCCAAACAAATCAAAACCCACCCACAACATTAAGAGTTTGTTTCATTATAAAACTATTCCAGTCAATTCTATTCAATAACCCACAGCTAATATACAGAATAGTTATTTTAGAAAGAATGACAATAAACAGTAACTTTTTCTAACTCATTCACTTCAGCAGCATTGGCAGAGAAGGCAGAGTACTCTCTCATCCCTAGAAATAATTTACTAGTTACAAAATCCCATAGAAATTTCAGTCACTGTGTCTTGACAATGGTGTTCACCCATTAAACCCCCCCAAGTTTATAGTTTTTTTTAGCCAGTTGTTGGACAAAAGACTGCTAAAATGATCTTCAGTACCTATACCTGCCTAGTTGATATCTGTGTTATTTATGTCCTACATATCATTATATATGCTGCACAACTCTGGGTTATTTCACTCTAAACTGTTGCCCTGAAAACCTTTTTAATTGTATCTTTCACGAAAGTGAAAAGCAAAGGGGGGTAAAAGAGATGCTGGACGAGTCTTATGAGCCATGTTCTTAATGGAAAGCCTAGAGAAGGAATACCCTCCAAACAATACGTGCACTAACGCAGAAAAGGCATCAATGAAGCCACATTTAATTTCAGTTCCAGGATCCCAGTCTCACAATGCATCACTCAAGAATTGACTTCAGCCAAGACATGTCCCTGCCCATGGCAGGGGATTGGCATTGGATGATCTTAAGGTCCTTTCCAACCCAAACTATTCTATGATTCTATGGCCCCTGATAATGCATTAACATAGTTAAGCTTTCCAGGACACTGGTCCCCAAAACCAAGCCACAGCAAACCACACACAACCCAAACTCCTACATAACTAAGGTCATCTAATGATTAAAAACCTCATTGCTTTTCACCTGCCAACGATGACAGCAATACTTGCATACAACATAGTGAGCTTTTCAGGCTTCAGTAATCAGACTTCAGTTTATTTTTATGGTTTCTTTCTGCTCATATTTTTAAAGACCATCATTATGCCACCTGATTCATGTGACTGAAGCAACAGTTAATTCTTAAAACTAAATTGAAACATAAACCCTACCAACCCCAACCAAACTATACCTCTTCAGCCACTTCATTTCTGGAGGTCACTAAGTTTACAGATATAATACCACTTAATGCAAAAATGCTGCAGCAAACCAAAGTTAAGGAAACCACGTTTTATTTTCTTTCTGCTAATTTTGCTACGTTCCTTGTTCTGAAATAGGTAGGGAAAGAGTTAAGCACAAAAACACACCCCAAAATAAGCAAAGGTCATAAGCACAAAATAACTTTAAACGAGAGATCATTCAGTGAGAGTTGTCATGCATAAGAGAAGAATTAAATCACTGGATGCATCCAAAAACAGAGGTTAAGGCATTTTACCAAACTGGCAACATACCTGACACTGTCCAGCTGGAACTGTACATCCATATGTCTAGCAGAAAGCTGGCTCATTTCTTTCTCTTGCTTTTCCCTAAAGGCACGATATTCCAGTTTTACAGCAGACAACTCCTTGTCTGCAGACTTCAGGACAATGCGTAAGTCACAGACTTCACTTTTTAATACTGTCAAAACCCAAATATTTGACATGTTAGTTGGAAAACTGTGCTACATACAAGGCATGTAACACTACAGAATATCCTGGGAAAGTCTCAAAACTTCCTACATTTTCAGTTGAATTAACCTTGGAGGCCACACATCCAAGAAGGATTTGTAATGGGAAAAGGTCAATGAAACACTGACTTTAAGAACTAAAGAGTACAGGCAGAACCAAAACCATTCTAGACCATATCACTGCATGTCTATAGACCAATAGAAGATTTCCCCTTTTTGAAGTTAATATTTTCTTTTTATATCCTATATCCTGTATTCCCTTCATATTCAGAGTGAACCAGAGAGCAACTCCGAATATTGTGTACTGTGCAACACTGGGCAGAGAAAAACTATTCTGCAAATGTTAGAGATTTATTCTTTGAAACATAAAAAACCATTTCTGGGGGATTAACAACCCAAAATATATACTCAAATGTATTACTGTTGATCCAAAACGTTAAGACACCTCAACAACTCCATATGGAATGTCAGTGTTAACCCAGGATACAGCGTTACATAGACTTACTATCAGTATTGCTTTGGCTGTCTTGAAATTGCTTTTCAAGCGACTTTATTTGTTCCAGGAGCTCCTGGCGTTGCTTATTCCAGTCATTCCTTTCAGATGAAAGGAGCTTGAGAAGAGAAGTACAAGTTTTAAATGGAAGGAAATGTAGGAGTGGCCACGGCACAGAGCAGTAATAATGACATAATCACGTATTAGAGCATTTCATCAACTGGCTATGAACACAAGATATATTTTTCTCTCAATCTGATGTTTAGCAAATCTGAAATCCATAGAAGTCCAAGAAAAAGAGGACTGGATATAACTGAAAATATTACCTTACCTGAAAAGTTTATTTAAGAGCAACCCACAGCTTAGGAGCTGAGGTCTACTTTGGAACAGAAATGACTGATCCAGGAAGCATACAGGCCTTATTTCCTTTTCTATGTTAAATCAAACCTAGTAATTAAGGAAGACCTGTAAGTGTTTTATACGGTAAGAACATTTCAGTTCAGTTCCTTGAGGCAAGTAGTGTTTTCAGCATTCCAAAGTTGAAAATTTCCTTGTGACTATTGCTGTTTTCCACAAATCAGAAAGTTGGTCAAAACCAGTCACAGGCATCCTAGTGTCTATTTGCTTATACTTCAGATCAAGCCAGCTCAGAATCACAACACTTACAACAACACCCCCTAAAACCCCAAACCTGTACTGTTGTGTTAAATAAAGTCTTTGTCTTCCTGCAGAGCCCTGAGCCATGATGCTGTGCACATTTTTCACAAGCCACAATGTAGTAACACTGCAGACCTCACTGAAGGCACAGTAGTATGAGTGTGGCAGACATCACCTTAAGGTATATACACTCGCATATAGCTCTATGTTGTATTGTTCTCTCACCTCCTGTATTTGTGCAGAATGATGCTCCAGTTTATCAACATGCTGCTGGAGTTTCAGATTCTTGCTTTCCTCTTCATCCAGCTTTGTCTGCATTGTGCTCAGTTGCTCCTGTGACACAACAGACACTCAAAATTAGAGCACCCATCTTCCAGCTGTTCTCACATGCCATATGGCAGTCTGTGCACATTAAGTATAAAAATGTCAGCTACTTTCTTTTTTTATGACCTGAACAAACAGAAAACTGAACATTCAATAATAAACTGGTATTTAAAGTAGCTGATTTCTCCTACTGCCAATTAAACTGCCAGAACACAAGACAATCTGCCAGGGAATACAAGGACTAAAGCCAGTAAATACTTAGTTTTCAGACACATGTTCATCTTGGAGAAATAAGACTTTACAAAGAAGTCACTCAATCTACACTAGCTTAGTTCCTTAGAGGGTCTCTGCATTATGGTAGCACGAAAGAGGGGTTTTAGCTGTTGTGCCAGAGTTATATATGCCCCAAGGTTAGTTTCAGCTTCTGGAGAGTACTTTATGTGACTAAAGACCTTCAGCACCCATTAGAAAAAAGAAAGTGTAATTGTGGACAAGCATCATTTGGCAGGTTTCTTCAGGTAATGCGTATTATGTATTAAGCTTAGGTATTATTCCAGATGTAGCTCTCATCAGAGACTTACAAGTTTCCTCCAAGTCAAGGTATCATGTTAAAAAAGGAAAAGATTAAATACGCTGTGTATCTTAAACTACTTATGATATTCAACTCAACTCCCTTTCAAAATTTTCATGGTAAATCTTTTTAAGTACAATTACGCATACATACGCACACGGACATGTATTAGGGATCTGTTTAGTGAAGCCTTGAGTACACATCAAGTGCTTCAGTTTCCCATGAAAAAGAAAACATTTCATGAGGGAGGCAGTATTTCATGCCCAAACCAGCTTTAGAATACACATACAATTCAGTTTTTATTCGTAACACTCACCTGTGTCAGTTTGAACTCCTCAACCACAGCCTCATATGCTTGTTGTTCGTTCACCTGTGGGGAAACTGGCTCTTTTGCAACATCATCCATCACCTCTTCAGAACACTGAAAAGCTTCGGAATGACGATCTAAGATCTCCGGGCTGAACCGTGGCACTAGGCGGGATCTCAGCTGGTAAGCTTTTGATGGAGTTGTTATGTTCTGTTATAGAGATTACAAAGCAGAATACCAAAATAAAATGCTCAAAGTGGTTAGTTCTACACCACTATGCTTTTGAGTGTCATCTGATTACAGCAGCAGTCAGTCATTAAGTATTTCAGAACAAAACAAAAAAAAGGCATCAGATCTGGTTTATCCCATATGGATTACATGCCAGAATACTTAGGTTAAGGGATCATACAAATAAAAGTCTCTGTGTTCCCATCCAACTCAGGTGCAAGTATGTGTGGTTTTAAAGAAACTTCTTACCATACCTTCAGAGTTTCTCTGTGTAGCTTGTGTAACTGAGAGACTTCTAGGCGCTTGCTTGCTTTAGTTGCTTCCAGAATGTTTTCAAGATGCTGGTTTGCTTTCCGAAGGGACTGAAGCTCTGATTCCATTTCCATATGCTTTTTCCTGTTTAGGAGGTATTTTACTACTGTCAAAACCACTCCATCACTATACCCTCCTATCAGGAAGAATAAGCTGCAGTATTGCCTTTTGGCAAGCTGAAGCTGAGCCTTTGCCCAAACACTGAAATACCTTATTTTGAGAAGAAAGCTGCCACTGCTGTATTAAAAAGTCAAAAGAAACACAAAATGACAAAGCTAGGAGGCTTCTGGGTGCTTGCATAATGATGGAGAACTAAACATGTCAAGAAAAAGTCCATTACATAATAAGAAATAAAGCTGAGAGCTCTGCAATTCCTTTGTTGAGAATGTGGCATCACTCATACCAACATTATTTTAAGCTTTAAAAACGTTACCGAGTTATATGAGAAGGCTTAACTGGTGCTTGCCAGGATTAAAGAGATTCCTTTAAAGATGTTGCTCTGTTAAGATTATTTTGCCCTCTAAGAGTGCTTTAGCTGAAATCCAACAGTTGAGCAGAAATGTAGGGAAGATTTTCCTAAGGTATTTCTGCAGAGCTACGTGCTGATACTGTCATAGTTGGTCTCCCTAACACAATTGTAGGGTCAAAGTCTACAGACAAAAGGAAACACTATTTCATCTTTTGGCAGTTTAATGCTATCACTTATCCTCCGTTTCTTAGTATCCGCAATAAAACTTGTGGAACAGGGTAGAACTTCAGTTCTGACTGCTATTGGACAATAAAAGCATTAGAAGTCAGTCTGTAAAACTGTTCAAGTTCACTCATTCAGTTACAGCATGTAATTACATTTGAATGTAAAATGAAGCATCTGGTTGTTCCAAAACTGGAGACAAGCTTAAAATTTAGTGGAATCTAGAGGTAAATCCAGAGGCTTAAAAGCACACTGCTGTTTGACTGCACTCCACTAAGAAAATGTGGGTAAGTGATATACAGATGCATTCATATTATCAAGAGAGCAAGACCTGCACACAAAACACTGAATACATAAAACAGAAATACACTGAGTGGGCAGGAAAACAAACTAATTCATCTGTGAAGATATAAACCATTGTAACTAATGATACAGGACAACTGATGGATTGGTAATGTTACAATCCGAGTTCAGGATTTATAAAGTCCATAGGATTTGCCACACAAGAATTTAAGACTAAAAAACAGATTTGTACAATTGGCTTCCAGGTTTCCATTGTGTTTGCTGGAGATGCAATTATTTTCCTTGCATTTCCAGTGACAGGACCTAAAGTTGTCAGAAATGCTGTTTATCAAGTTAAGCCATGTATTATTCACTTTGCATTTTAAAGTATTACTCGGGCTTTTTGTATTATCTTGCACTGCCCTCAAGGAGAACTATGACAATAAATTCTTTACTACATTAGTAAGGATAAAGTAGACCCTTATCTCATGTTTCTGTGCCAAAGTAAATGGATGTGAATGAATTATTGACACCCTATCTTTGTTTTTATGTGAATTAATTCCCTATTCCAATAACAGGTCTCAAGATAGTGGTATTATTGCTTTCTTAAACATCTTTGAAGCAGAGAGAATAAATTAACCAATGGCTTAGCCAAGATTTTCTGGGGGGATTGGATTCTGCTTTATAGAGGCTTAAGCTTCCAATCTTAAAGGTGTTATATTAGAAACTACTGTTGCACTAAAACAAAAACCCCCAAAATACACTCCCAAGCCCCATCAATTCTTAGTTCCTGTCACTGCTTTCATGTGAAAAATATTTAAAGCATGGAAACTAAGCCAAACTCTCCCTGCCCTGTTAAAGCAGGTTCCAGGGCATGTCCATTCCCTGCATGTTGTGAAGCACTGTTTTGCATCTTAGCATAAAGAGCTTTAGGAAAGACAAAGAAATCCGCAACAGTGGAGATGTGGCTTCAGACTGCATCATGGCTGTCCCCTAGTCTGTGAGGAACTGAGTTCAACAGGAACATTCTCTGTGTTCATACCACCTAGCCTATCTTATCCTGGCCCTCTCTTACATGCAAGGAAATTCTTTGACTGTCTATTCAGGATCTGAGACTAACTTTTAAAAATCAATACAGTGAAAACATTTAATAAAAGACATTTCTGTACTGTTTTGTCTCACTTGGTTAGGTCTTTAAATTCTTCATATTCTTGTTTTGAACTTGCCAGTTCACTCTGAGTCTGTAGCAGACGTGCTTTCAGCCTTTCAACAGATGCCAGCGAATTGCCTTCCACTGATATGGTGGTGGAATATAAATGATGACCTAAAGAACAAACATATACCCCCTGAAATCACAGAGTAGCTCAAATATCTTAAGTTTTTACTAAAATGGTAGCATTTGTAGGCTTTTTAACAGCAACTGATATTAAAAAAAGAATAAATGGGTATTAGCTACAGACCACATAAAAAACAGGTAGAATAATTCATATTACTGCAGTTTTTAGGACAACTAAAGACAGCAAAATGAGATCATGGCTGGTGCTCACAGGGTGCACCAGAATTCAAATTCCCTATTGCTGTATTTGCTCGAAGGTCATTGTGAATAGAATGAAGTAAACCTGCTTTATCAGTCTTCAGGAATCACTTTGAAGAAGGCAAAAATACATCAAAACAGACATTTTCAACACTATGCTGCACACACCAGAAATACAGTAAAGCTTACTTGGCTGAAAAACACGAGCATATTGTTACCTCCAGTATTTTTCTCTGTGGCTGAGGCTTCTGAGAAAGCTTTTTCCAATTCAGCTATTGTGTTGGCATCAATTTCCTGAGCCTTTTTAACTGACTGCAAAGAACGAAGTTTTTTGTTCTCCTCTCTGAGGTTATAGTTCTCCATGGCATACTTTGCAATCTGTGGGTGTTGTTCCACCTGTCATAAGCAATATTTTATTCAACAGGTTTTATTTTCCAGGCAATGCTATACATATATACGATTCATATACATATTAGAGGTACTGTTACACCAATAACTTTAATAAGCATTAAATTGTAATGGAAGAGGAATAAAGATACTCCATACAGTGGTTAAAACCACCCCAATTTTTTGTTTGTTAATTTTCTTACTCCCTTGGAATCTGCTCTCAAAAATATCACAGTGGGTTTGATATCTTTAGGCTTTGACTGACAATAAAGCAGTAGAAGATTTTCTTGCTGCTCTTAATATTCATTTTTAGTTTCAGCTTTGACTTTAACACTGTCCCTGCATGCCATAAAAGATTTCTATAGTCCTTTATGACTGCCCTGACTTGTGTACTTCCCCTCCTTTCACTTCAGAGCTCAGTTATGTGCTAGAGATTCAAGCTGGTCTTACAATACATCTATTCCTTTTTCCTGCTGGTGATTAGAGATTGTTTTCAAAGAATCTGCCTTCTCTCTTAAGCTTCTCTGTTCTTCAAAACTGCTTCACAAATGATACCACACCTAACAGATACCTGAATAACTTGAAGTCTCCTCTCCTGAGGCTTAGGTATGTACTTTGGTACTTGCCTTCCTCAAACAGCTCCAGGACCGCATCATTCCTGAACGGCCCATCTGGCATCTGTGTTCTTACCCTTCAGAAGCCTGCTGTATTACTTGCATCCTGCTGTCCTTCCCTTTCAGATGTCATGGACACTAAAGTCTCCCATAAGAATAAGGATTCGTAATTTGGAGACTTCCTTCAGTAGGAGACTCAGCTCTCCACCTAACCTAGATCAAGTGGCCTGTAGCAGCTCCCACCATGACATCACCCTTACCAACCTTTCCTTTTAGGGAAACTCACAAACTCAAAACCTATCTACTCCATAGACAAATTCCATGCTCTTGAAATGCTTCTATAAAGGAACCCACCACCCATCTTCTTTCCAGCCTGCTCTTCCTAAAAAGCCTGTATTCACCCATCGCATGAGCTATTCTCACAAACGAAAACTGCTCTAGGAAAGAACTTACCTGTTCTTTGAGCATCTGCAATTCCTCCCTCAGTTCACTGAAGAGATCATCTTGTTCTTTTGGCAAGAAGCTTCCACCTGCCTCTTTATGTAACCGCTCCAAGCGAACAATATGGTTTTCACGGAATTTAACTATCATTTTGTTGGATTGAATAAATTTCTCCTTCTTGCCACACAGGTCTTCTAGTTGAGCAATTTTTTCTAATAAATTCTTAGAAAGTACATATAGAGAACAGTGAAAAAAGTCACGGTCACATTAGATGAATTTCTAAGGTGCACATATCACACACAGAGAAACAAAACATAACTCGGTCAATAGCAATTCTGTGAAATGCAGGCTATCATTTGCAGCAGATTCACAGAGAGCAGAAGCTCATAGCAAGAACACACATTACTCGCTATACTGGAAGAGCTTTACTTCATCCAGTTACATTGCTCCATCCCAGGCAGTGGTCAGGGCCAGGATGGACAGAGCCTTGCGTGACATGGTCTAGTGTGAGATGTTAATGCCTGTGGCAGGGGGTTGGAACTGGATGATCTTAAGGTCTTTTCCAACCCAAAGAATTCTATGATTCTATACTTGGAAACTCCAGTGTGACTTGGTAGACTATGTATTCAGTAAAGCAAATCAGATGCACCCCAGAGTGCTGGTTTTGGTTGATTTTCTCAAAAAACTGATCCATTTTGGCTGATTCAATAGTGCACCATGCCAAGAAATGGAGACGACTGGGAGGTTTGCTTCTCAAAATTAAGGAAAGAAGTTTGTTGTTCTGGTCAATTATTGTGATTTTTTGAATTAAAACAATCCACCCCCTAAAACTAAACATACTATGAAAGCTCTCCCATGGCTTCTCTGAATTCAAAAGATAGAAGAGAATCACAGAACTGTTCAGGTTGGTCAAAACCCGTCCAACTGCTGGCAATTGACCTGCAGATTTTATCTTGCCTGTCATTTGACTGGAGTTACCTTGTTACCAAACCTTATTATTTTCAGGCAGAATATATTTATTCAAAACCAAAGAAAAAAAAATCATCAAGAGAGTGAGTTTCAATATTAAGGACTTAAAAATACACTTCCATACCTTCTTTTCACCTTCTGATTTCTCCCAGAACAACATTGCTTCAAGAAACTTATTCATGTAATTTAGGTGGTTGTGCCCTTTTTCAACAGCACCTATAAAGTAAGTCAAAGAAATAAATACCACATTTATTAAAATACCAGTCAAGCAGGTTTCCCTAGATACATAATGTCATGGTTGTGAAGAGAAAATTTAAAGTCATTCATTGAACAGTATAATTCCTCTACAGGGATCAATGCCATACCCAGAGCAAGGAATTTTAGACAGTAAATCCTAGTCACCTGCAAGTGCTGATAAGAATGCAGTCCATATACATAACTGTATAATTCAAGTTGTTCAAGCATGAAGTGGCTTTACAATGAACTTCTATTAAACTGAAAGAATCAGTCTGCTCAGCAGAGTATATTTACAAAATGCAAAACCCCTCTGAAATCAATTTAATAACACTAAGCCATTATTTAGCATTATTACTGCAGTTTGTACGTATTACAAGTGGACTAACTGGTTTAGGAGAAGGAAATTCAGGAAAAGCTTGAATTAAGTAGACAGTGATTTGATCTGGAAGGAAAGTGTCCACACAAGGGAATAAAAGGGCTTAACTAATCCACTTTAGATATTAATTCCAAATAGCTTTCCTGAATATCTTCACACAAGCAAGACTACTTATTTATGGAATACCACCATGTTTTTAAAGTAGCTAGCAAGCAGATTGCATATTTGTGTGATCAAATATTACATACACAATTTAACTGCATAGGCAAACACAGCTCTGATGTACTGGGTTGTGCTTAAAACCTCTCTTCCGTGTTTAAGCATCGCCACTTGCTGTTCCTCAGAACTGTATTACACATCTGAACATTTTTCAGTCCTCTGTCAATATTCATGTATTCATGGACAATGATTCAGTGTCCTACATAGTGACCGACTTGTTTTTACTGGTTAAGTGTGTATGCTAACAGAGACATTTTATTTCCTTCAGAAAACTCAACTACAGATGCTTTGTATTAGACAAGTCTTTCAACTTTTATAATTACTTCTATTACTGTATCTTCTATTTCTTGGCAAGATCAGGAAAGAGTTCACTCGGCAACACAGGAAGAGTTACAAGACCAAGTTTACTACTTCATTATCAAAATTACACAGTAGCATATTGCAGAGGGAGGTATACATAGTAGAAAGCCATGCTGGGATCTGTATTTCAGATACAATGGTCTAAAGAAAAGCTGCTGGTAGAAAATTACCTAAATCCCCAATTAATATCTTGCATTGAAATAGATATTTTATTGAAAGGTAGACATCCTTCTTAGGATCTTCCTGAAGGGGCAAGAAGGGAAGGGGGTGGGATGGGACGGGATACAGTCCTGAGTTTAAAAACACAATATCATCAATACCATAATGTCCTCCCAAGACCTAAATGTCCAATTACTTGTAAACTTTTGGTTACTTAGAGGATTAGGCAGCATGGTTCTTACAAACTGGAAGAGTATTCTAGGTATATAAAACCATAGCTCAGCAAGTACACTGCAATGGTTTGAGCCCAGCTGGTAACTGAGAACCATGCAGCCGCTCGCTCACTTCCCTCCTTCTTTCCCCCCCCCGGCTCCCAGGGGGATGGGGAGGAGAATGGAGGGAATGTAAACCCCACAGGTTGAGATAAGAGCAGTCCAGTAACTAAGGTATAACACAAACCACTGCTGCTACCACCAATAATAATAATGAGGGAAATAACAAGGGGAGAGAATATAAAACCAAAAATGAAAGGGAAAAAACAACCCAACACACAGAAGTGAAGCCCAATACAATTGCTCAGCAGCTGCTGAATGATACCCAGCCCCATCCAAACAGTGATCTGGGCCTTCAGGGTAACTTCCCCCAGTTTCTATACTGGGTATGATGTGCTCTGGTATGGAATACCCCTTTGGCTAGTTTGGGTCTGGTCCCTGTCTCTGCTCCATCCCAGCTTCTTGCACCCCTCCTCACTGGCAGAACACGAGACTGAAAAGCTCTTGATCAGGGTAAGTGCTACTGAGCAACAACTGAAACATCAGTGTTTTACCAGCATTGCTCTCACATTAAAGCCCAAACACAGAGCACTGCACCAGCTGCTACAAAGGAGAAAAATAACTTACAGCTGAACCCAGGACAATATACTTATAAGAGGAAGAAAATAAAAATTACATTAGCAATTTCTGCAAAATATGCTGTACAAACACAGGCAAAGGGATCCGTAAGACAAAGGTAAACTCTGCAGGTCAGTTCCTGTAAAAGTATTAGTTGTTCAGAAACTTTGACTTACCTAAGGTTCCAACACTGAAGGCTACCAAATAGGACATTTTCTTCCCTCACTCCCAGCTCTTACCTTGTGATACAGAAATATCACACATAGATGGCACTGAAGTAAGTTGAGCAAGCTGCTCTTTCAACTTCCTGACCTCAGCTTGCAGCTGCTTCACATTTCCTTGTGTGTCTTCATTTACCACAGCCTTTCACAAATATGCGAAGAGAAAATTACTAAAGGCACAAATAGAAGTCTTATAGGATAAGATGAAACGGAAATACTGCAAAGCAGCAAGACTCCTTTTTTTTAAGGTTAAAATGGTTAAAAATATTAATGTTTTCTGTAGAATTTTGTCTGGAGCTTTTTGACCAGCAAAGCATTATACATTGAAGGCAGCAGTGTCCAGCCAGATGCCAACATGCTTTCAAAACCCACTCATGAGAAATTACATTTGGGTTGTAGCATAGATAAGAAGTAGATGCACTGAAATACCAGTGAATCCAATTCTTTTAATGACAATTCCATTACTTTTTCTAATTAAGTGCTCTGAAAACAAGCAATGAATACACACTATTAACAGCCATTGCCTAGTCCCCCAGCTGCTGTACTCTATTCATAAGCAAAAGTGAACAAGTAAAACATCATTTGCTGTAAAATGTGTTTAGGAAAACAAATTTAGCATTTTAACTTCAGTTATGTTCAATGAAATTAGTGAAAGCACAGGAGTATTTCTCCCCTGTTCTGCAGATGTGTAGTTTAAATGAAAAGAAACTGTTGCAACAATAAAGACATTGAGTCACTCTCTTACCTTGTTCTTAATCAACTTTGCCCGCTGAGCAAAATTAAGAGTGGACAGGGTTTCACCAAAGCACCTGGATCCTGGATGAACATTTGCAATTATACAGGTTTTTGCATTACCACCAAGGGAATCCTGTTTAAAAACACAGACATTAACTTTAGTAGATATTTCACTTTAATCTTGGTAAAGTAGCAGATTGGTATTCAACCATCTGTTGACTGTTCCAACCTATCTTCTGGTGGCAACTGCCAAACAAAAACTCAAACCAACAGTTTCTTGACCAGAGATATAAAAGGAACCTCTCCTTTTAACACGCATGTTTTCATGTATTTCCATGGTGTTAACCAAACAAGCAGCTCTCAAATCTGGTGAAGGCAGCAGTTATACTTAAGACTAAAAGTCTAGTACTACCAAAATAGCCCACAAGCCTCAATGGCATTCTCTCTCCCTATTAAAGATCATTTTTTGTGGACATCTTTACAGCACAGCCACCTAAAAAGAACATAACCACTTAAACAGCTTATACAGTTGCAATTTCCTTCCAGTTTCAATGTATTTCAGGTTGCATTGAAAGAACATAATTCTTCAGAGATTCACAATTCTAAGATATACATAGAACAGGGATGGAAAGATTGGAAAATACAGCTGTGATAACATTAACACTGAGTTGTAACACCAATACTGTATTTTGTAAAAGCACTACAACACAAAAATGTATTACAGGTATTCATTACTGTTCGTAGAATTTTAATGAGTGCTGGTGTCCAACAAATCTTTAACTGTTTCCAT